CTCAGGCTGCTGGGGAAGACAGTGCCTCCTGTTTCTTGCTCAATCCACGCTTCCTGGGAGACCCCATGAGTGACAGCGAGCAGAGTGCCTGCGCATTTTGTCCCCAGCCCTCGGTGTGTTATGATGCAGGCAGGGTTACATCCACAAGAGAATGCACATGAGAGCTATCTGTAGGGAGGCAGAGGACTCAGTGGCAGGTCATGTGGGGCCTTCCATCTTTAGCTCACTGTGTGGCCAGGTAGGCATTGTCTCTCATGGTGGCTCCTGTGTGTGCTTGCTCTGTGTCACAGATGCTTTTTTTAAATTAATGTGTTTAATTGTTATAGGGTCTTACTACACAGCTCAGACTCATGGTGATCCTCCTGTTTTCAGCCTCCCCAGTGCTGGGATTACAGGTGTATGCCACTATACCTGGACTCTGGCCAGCTCAGAGTACCCAGAGGTGGGGCTGGCACAGCATGTGGTGCTGGGGATCAAACCATGGTCCCTGGGCTTGCCTAAGCTTGCCTAAGCAGGCACTTTAGTGTGCTGAGCTATTTCACTGGCCCCCACATATACCTTTTGCTCTGGTCTCCAGGGTGGGTCATCTGCCTTTGTCATTTCCCTTGAGTATCACCCTGCAGAGGAGAAGAAAATATGGTGTCCCTTATCACAGAGGTCAAATATATGAAAAATGGGTTGCAACAACTAGAGCTCAGAGGTGCTGAAGAGAATTAGCTAGATCTTGAGCATGCCAACCCCTGCCTGCTCCGGGTCCATGAGACCCATGGGCCATTTTCTGTTTCTAAGGCCAGTTCTGCTGGGATCTCATTACCTCTTCTTAGAAACATGGTTTTGGCTCACAGGAAAGCCTTCATAGGTAGACATTGTTCTCTCTCTCTCTCTCTCTCTCTCTCTCTCTCTCTCTCTCTCTCTCTCTCTCTCCCATGGATTAAACTCAGGCCCTTGTGCTTGCCAGGCAAGTGCTTATTCTACTGAGCCACCTCCCTGGCCCCCATTGTGGTCTCTTCATGATGAGGCTGGAAGACTGTTTTCACAAGGAACAAAGAAGACAGCCTTGGTCGTTTGATCATGTGCACGATGTTAATGGCGCAAGGTTCAGTTCACCCTTGACTCATGCACTCAATCTGCTCACAGGGGCTGGTTGTAAGTCAAGACTATTTTTCCAATAAGAAATAACAGAAATACACATAACATGTTCCAAACATCCCAAAGCACTCCCTAACTTACCTTTTCATAATAAAAGTGTTGCATATGATCCTAACTTAACAGAAACACCAACAATTTTCCTAGTGTATTTATCAAAAATACATAAAACATGCCTAGTTTACCAGAAGCAACAATTGCCTACTATATTCATCATTCAAGTTGACATCTTTGGCTTATAGGAAGGGAGGATGAAATAGAAGGTGGCTGTTGTTTGGAAGGAGAGTCCTCTCCCATAAAAACATCAGGAATCTTGCTCTCTGCTGATCTTTCTCTCCTTGGGAGTCTGTAGCTTACTAGGACCTGCTTCTGGCTCACTAGGTCTCAACCTTTTTAGGACCAAAAACTGGCCTAAGGCTGTCTATTTCTGTCTTTTCTTTAACACTGTTCTGTAGTATGACATGACACTGTCATTAAGCAAGTGAATGCAACATTTGGCTTTTTCTTTGTCTGGGTTGGTCTTCTCTACAAATCATTGCAGCTTTGTCTACTTTGTCAGGGTTTCTTTTATTCTAGAAGAACTTTGCTGCACTGATTGTTGATACTCCCCCCTCCTCAGAAAGCCCCTCATTGTCATTCTCTCTTGCTCAGCCGGAAGTTGCTCAAGTTCTTCTGTAGACAGCTCCTCTGACCATTCCTCCACCAGTTCCTCAGCATCACCACCATCTGCCCCAAAACTTACAAACTCTGCTGTAGTGACACTGTCATCAACAGAGTATAGAGTCAATTGAAGGCTCAGGCTCCTCTACACGGCTTTCAAAATCTCTCTCCTGTATAATTTTAGGCCACACTTTCTTCCAGGCAGATCTGTGTCCTTAGACAGAAGTTGGCCTACAATTTCTCAGTTAACCCCACACAGGAAAGGATGTTGTAAAGTTCCTTCCAGAACTCTTTTCACAGGGTTAATTCTGTATCTCAGACCATCTGGAAGCACTTCAGGAACAGTTCCTTGGTGGGTAGTCTCTTAAAGTTAGCTCTAACCTGCTGATCCCAAGGCTGCAGTTGAAAAGTTGTATTAGGTAGTTGGAACTCGACTGAGAGCCATGGGAATTCTTTAGCCAATTTTTCCAGATCTCGTGGGTAAGTGGAGCATTGTTCATCACAAGGAAGGCCTTGAGCAGTAAACCTTTGTCCTCTAAATGTTTCTTAACAGTAGAGCAGAAAGCCTCCGTGATCCACTGAAGAGAAAGCACTCTTGTTACTGAAGCTTTTGTGTTAGATCTCCACATGACTCCTAGCCTATGTTTCCTGAACCCTGGAGGGCTCTCAGAGTGATTCAACAGAGAGGCTTTAACTTGAGGCAACCACTTGTATTGGCACATAGCAGTAAGTTTAGTCTCTCATAGGCTTGTGGCCTGGCATTTTCTTTTCTGCTTGGGTAATGCATGTTATCCTGGGCATTTTGTACCAGAGAAGGCCAGTTTCACCACAGCTGAAAACTCGATGGGAGCAAAAGTCATTTCTCTGTGTCATGATCTCATGGCACTGGCTGCTTCTCCATGACTAGTTATGTGATGAAACCCAGAGCCTGCTTTCAAACTGTGAAAATACTCGTTAATGGTATGAAGTGTTTCACCATTGTCATTGTTGATGGATTATCCTTTACAAGTTCTGCATTTATAGCCCTAGTTTTTTTTTTTTCCACAAATTGTAGACTCAGATAGGCTATCATCTGGGATTTGCCTTTCCTTTATCTACATCAATAATAGTCTTTCTATGTCACCTAACACTGTTGAGCATGAATTACTAACACCTCTAGCAGCACTAATTTCCTTATAAAAATCTTCCTGTCAGATGGTTTAAATGGTGGATTTTGATATGCTGTACATGTGAGCAAGATCAGTCACATGAATGCCTCGCTCGTATTTCCTTATAATGTCCTCCTCCTCCTTCT